TGGTTTGGAGGAGAAGGGGGGGCGGCTGGTGGAGGGAGGGCCTGGCAGGGGATGGGGGAGGTACTGAGGGAAAAGAGAGCATTGTGAAAACAGGATGAAGCCTATTACTTTGTGTGCTAATTAAAACCCCAGGCGTTTACAAATAGCCTTGAAGGAAATAATGAAAAAAAAATATGTGAGAAAACGATCAAAACATCAAAAGAAAAACCAGGATTGGACACATGTAGACACATTGTCATGCACTTAATAATACAACTTACCACAAAGCTGACATTTTGCATTTTAAGAAATTGTGGAGCTAAAGCAAACGATATTTAATGGACCCCCAATTTCATAGAAAATTTACTATGTAATATTAGACTTGAAAATAAGAAAATAAAATAGAAAAGCCAAAATATAATAAGCAGAGCCTATAGAATCCCCAGTTTACACTTTTTCCCTATAAAAGGAGGCCTGAAAAGTTAACCCACACTGTACTCTCAAATTTCACTTAGGAGAGCCAGTCCTATGCAGAGTAAATAATAAAGTCTGCTTCATTAGCTTTAATTTGGATGATGATTTTCATTCTTACTTGGTGGGATCAACACTGCCGAGACAGAGGTGTCTGTGGGGAGGTAGGGAAAGGGGCTGAGAGTCACCTAAGCAAGCACAAAATAGAGTCAGAATAAGAAGTTACCTTAGTCATTTCAAAGAGACTGGAGTTATCAGTCCCAATGCCACTGTGTGCTCTGTCCGGGACATACTTGAAATACTTTGTGGGAAGAATCTGTGGCCCACCTCTCATGTCCCTTCTCGGCACCTCTAATCCTTCTATCTACAATGCCCTCCTGTTCTGTGGCTATGATTTTGAAGATGTTTTATTGAGATTCCAAGATGTTGCTGGAGGGACAAGTTAAGACCAGGGGTATTAAGCTCTATGACCCAGCAACCTCCTAGTGGACAGGACTCAACAAAGGTCTTTGAATATGGCCTCCACATCTGCCCCTGCCCCAAGTCATCAGAAAGTTAAAAGCCGGAGGAGAGATTTGTGCAAAGTTCCTGTTTCCCGACAAAGAAAACAAGGCACCATGACCATGTCTCTCTAGGAATAACGGAAAATATGTATGTAATAGTAAACAGTAAAATAAAATGAAGCGTTATGCAGATTCCGGGGGGCACAGGAATAGTAGACAAATGACTTGATGACGTGTTCATGGTGACCGAAGGTGGAATCAGAAGAACTGACATGCTTATCTAGAATCCAAACAGCCTAGAAAGGAAAGCACAGAACCACAAACTCCAAAGGCTGCCACAAAAGCACGGGTGAAGACGTATTTCTAAAGCTGCTCTCATTTGAAGATGCCTAAACCAGAAAAGATAGATGCAGCAGAATGGAGACATCAGTGGTTTCTGGTGGGGACTTTGTATTAACATGAATGGCAGTTGAAGGAAAACATCCTGTCTGCTTCACGTGAATCTTCTGCTAAAGCTCTTCTCATATTAGTAAACACCCAAAGCTGCCTATTTCACCTGGCTAAAAACTATTCTAGGCCAGGCCGTGGTGGCACACGCCTTTAATCCCAGCACTCGGGAGGCAGAGGCAGGAGGATCTCTATGAGTTCAAGACCAGCCTGGTCTACAAGTGCTAGTTCCAGGGCAGCCTCCAAAGCCACAGAGAAACCCTGTCTCAAAAAACTATTATAGGTCTGGGAGTATAGTTAGTGGCAGCGTACTGAACTTGGTTCCATTCTCAGCAACGTTAAAAAAATAATGCCATATACAATGCTTATTAAGCAGAATTGTAGTTTTGATAATTATGCACATTTATTTTTCTTTTTCCAGTTTTCATGTTGTGTGCGGGTGTATGTATACGTGTTTTTGCACATGCCTCTGACTGAGTGTGCTGTGCATGTGCAGGCATGTGAATTCAGGCCAGAGGCTGGTCATCTATTACTCTTTCATCTTATTCATTAAGTCAGAGTCTCCCAATCAAACACAGTGCTTGCAGACACAGCTTATCTTGCTAGCTAGTTTCCCTTGAGGCATCCAGGTTTGTGCATTGGGAGGCTGGAATTAAAGGCAGCCACACCCATCCACAACATACTTAGGTTCCTGGGGATTCAAACTCCAGGCTTCAAGCTTGCCCGGCAAGTGTTATAACTGCAGAGCCATGTACCGCCCCCCCAGCACAATTATGTGCAATTTCCATTAAATTGTGGGGCTGGGGATGTAACAGCTGGAAGAGTGCCTGCCTCGCTCCATCTTTGGCCCTGTATAAACGGCATGGTGGGCCGATGGTATTTGTCCTCCTAGTATTCTTGAGGTAGAGGCAGAGGATTAGAAGTTCAAGGTCATCTTCAGCCTGGGATGCATGAGACCCTGTATAAAATCTCTCACACACATGTACACACACACACACACACACACACACACACACACACACACGCTTGAGTAAGCATTACTGGCTGCTTTTTCATTAAATGTGTGAAATAGTTTTTTAGTCAGTTCTTTGTGAGGTTTAAGGTATCTTAATTTAGAGATGTATCAAACATAGGTTATTTTCCTCGGTAGGGACAACATCATCAAACAACTCTTTGCACTCACTCTTGAGAAGTGTCCTGAAGCAACTTTAAGACCATGAAGCATGTGAAAGAGAGACTATCGAAACGAAACAGATCATCTGTATGTGGACATGTCCATGTCACACATATGTGTGGATTCTTTCATGATCCCTGTGGGCATTGCGATTTTCATTGGCCACTAAATGCTAGACACTGCTGTCTGGTTAATTATGAAATGTGTCCTATGTCCCCAGTTCTCTCTTATGTGGATTCAGATTCATGACAGTGGGTATTTCATTTGGAAACTACAGATATTTATTAGGAAAAAAAGCATTTTATCCTTTCCGGTCATGGGTGTTCACCCCTCTGCCTCAGCAGTTCTAACTCCCAGTGTTATCTTGATCACAGTGACAGCACACTGGCTTTGGGATTTCCAGGGGTGAAAGGGTCCGTGTTATATTCTGTTTATGAAGGATGTGAAGGAAGGAGATCAAACTGTCTGGTTTTGAAAGCTACCTCTTTAATATATATGTATATACTATATATATAATTTATATGTCATTTCTCATCCCCCGACACACACTTCATAAGTAATTGAATTGATTGTTTTTTTTCCCACTTGTAAAATGGAGGCAACAATAGCATCATCCACTTCTAGATTGTTGTGAGGAATAAGTGAGAAAAATATAGGAAGAATAATTACCTGGTACATTAGTAACATACAAATATAAGTTATGGTCATAATGGCTAGAAATTAGCAATAACTTGAAGTTGATGAAATAAATTATGGTACATTCATGCAGCAGAAACCACAGAAAGAAAATAGTGTAAGAATTAGGAAAACAGCATTTGGTGGAATCTCAGTGAATCAAGGCTTACCTGTCTCCCTCAGGATATCCAGAGTTCTTTCCAGATCTTTCTTCTTGCTTTCATGTGTGTCAGCCAGCTACCCCACTGTAGCAATCTTTTTATTTTAATTTTTTTTATTTATTTTTTCACTGTAGCAATCTTTAAATCTCAGTGGACCTCAACAGTGAGCATCCATTTCTCATGACAAGCTTGCAGGCAACCGGCCCAGCTCTGTTTCAGACTAGTGCATGGCCAGTGCAGATGGCTCCGTGCTGTGGTTGCTAGCCAGAGAATGCTCTAGCTGTGATAATCTCAGAAGTAGCCGAGTGGGAGAGACGATGTTATGCTTTTAGCTCTAAGTTCAGATTTAGCATGATGCTCCCATCCACATTTCTTTGGCCAATGGAAACCAACAGGATGAGTCTCAGCAGAGTCAAGATGGCATCTTTACCTGCTCATGATGCTGTAGCAGCAGTTAGGGAGCCAAGACATTAATTAGCAGCCATTATTCTCACCGCCTGCCAGTGAGATTGCTGTTCAAGTCCCACTGTGTTTACTGAACTCACTCCACTTTCTGTTTAACTGTCTTTCTCTCCTAACAGAATTCCTAGAATCAGTAGATCTTCAGCCACTCTGACTGAGGGCACAGAGCCTAACTTGAACCTGGAAGCTCCTTTCCTAGGGATATTCTTATCTACTGGTCTAAGTTAATTTTCTTTGTAATGATATTTACAGTAAGCATTTCATTTCCTTGGATTTAGCCTAAGTGCTGTAAATCCAGAGTATCTTTCAGGAAGATGGCTTATTTACTACTGACTTCACTTTTCACTGCTGTGGAGGGTTGATTCTTCCTGTGTGCCCCGAGGAACAGAGGCTGGTTTGTGTTAGGGGGACTCTTTCCGTATCTCTCAGAGAGGCTGATGTAAGAAGTTTCTGGACCCAAATGATAAAAATACCCAGTCCGTGAACCAGTCTTAAAATGGAGTTTTGTCATAGTCATTCCTTAAGAAATACAAATAGTACAGGAAGAAAATAATCAGAATGGAGTATCACTGAATTTGGAGTCTTTCCAGTGATTTTGAGCATTCGCAAAACAAAGTGAGCAAACGAACTCAGGACAGAGTTTAAGACAGAGGGGTGGGTTCTGGGCTTTGAGAATGGAGAAAGCATACTTTAAAAATCAGGGATGGAAAGCCAGGAGCAGCGGTCTACAATTTTAATCTTACCACTTGGGAGGCAAAGGGAAATTCAAGGCCAGCCTGATCTACATATGGGTTTCAGGCTCTCAGGGCTACAATAAGACCCTGGAGGGAGAGGTGGGAGGTCCATGTAGCTAGGCGTGGTGGCACTTGGGAGGTAGAGGCAGGAGCATCAGGAGCCATGGTCATCCTTGGCTACATAGAAAACTTGAGGACAACCTGGGCTACAGGAGACCCTGTTTCAGAGGGGAAAAAATAAGAACTAAGGATGTATTTTCCGAAAAAGGAACACAACCCTAATGCAAGTGGACGGAAGTGGCATTTCCTTCTTCTTTTCTAACCCTGGTTCCTAGCCTCTGGTAGAACCTCTTCAATGTCTTACACATTACAGACTTTTGCCAGCTGGAGTGACATGTGGCTCCTCACAACCCTGCTCCTTTGGGGTAAGTTGGGCTCAGGGAAGCTTGCTGGGGGACTTGGCTTCTGGCCATGTCAAGACTTTTTGTCATCATTTGGTATGTTAGCCTAAAACACAAGTCTAAAGGCTGCTGTATCAATGATCCGGTAGTTTATTGGTGCTTCTTTCCAAAGGTTGGGAAGGGAGCATCTGGTGTCTTTAAGCCTGCAAGCCTCCATCAGAATAAAGACAGCATCATGAATAGCCATCCACTCTGCAGGCACTTGATTTTGGGAAAGAGGGATGGACTGGGTCCTCAAAGTCGTCATGAAGTTCCTTTCCATTCTCTCTTCATCATTATGGTCTTCTAGTCACCAAGTGATATCTGTGTCTCTGGTCTCTTGCAGTTCCAGTTGGTGGACAAGTGGGTGAGTGACCACTCATCTTCTGTTGCTTTCCCGAGTCTGGAGGGAAGAGTAAGAGGAGGACAGCAAGATGTCTTAGTTACCATCTCTGTATTTAGAGTGGGGTTTCTGAGTGGACCCTCGCTGAACTAAATACCTAGACCAGTGGTTCTCAACCTTCCTAAGGCTGTGACCCTTTAATACAGTTCCTCATGCTGTGGTGACCTCCAGCCATAAAATTATTTTCGTTGCTATTTCATAGCTATAACTTTGCTACTGTTACGAATGAATTGTAAATGTCTGTGATCTCTGCTGGTCTTAGCTGACCCTGTGAAAGAGTCATTCAACTTCCAAAGGGGTCACGCCTCACAGGTTGAGAGCCTGGTGAGCTCAGAAAAGCAGAGTTGTGGAAACCCAGAAGCAACCCTGCCAGGCTGGCTTTCCTACTGACTCCCCAAACCTGTCCCTTTCCTAAGAACACAAAGATAGGTTTTCCACCTCAGACAGGAAGGCTTCAAGGGCTTGAGCCTCAGTTTTCAATGAAGTGGATGAAGGTGAGCCCCACCCACAAAGACAGCCTAGCACTGGGTGTGGGGAAACCGGCTCAAGGCAGTTTGCTCTGGTTTGAAACCCGACTGATTTCATCACCAGCAACCAAATCCTAACACCTGGACTGGGGTCAAATGACCCAGAAAAACTCCCACAGCAGAATCCAGGTGCCTAAAGGCTGGCTGGTTCCCTGGGTTTCCACTTGCTAATTTTTTCAAACTAACCCAAATATACATTTTCCCCTTGTGCTAGCGATAATCTTCCAATCACCCACAGTTCTTGCTTTAGCTCCACTTAGGTTTTTCTCTGCTGTTGTTGTCCTCTTTTTCCTACAGCAAATATCACAAAGGCTGTGATCACCTTGCAGCCTCCATGGGTCAGTATTTTTCTGAAGGAAAATGTCACTTTATGGTGTGAGGGGCTTCACCTGCCTGGAGACAGTTCCACCCAGTGGTTTATAAACAACACACTGCTTCAGGTCTCCACACCTAGTTACAGTATCTCTGAGGCCACGCTCAAGGACAGTGGTGAATACAGGTGCCAGACTGGTCTCTCAATGCCAAGTGACACTGTACAGTTGGAAATCCACAGAGGTAAGCATGGCTCGGGGCAGGAGGGCTGAGGATCCCAAGGTCCTCCTCTGTGTGGGTACCAGAGTACTCTCTGTGTCTGTCTGTCTGTCTGTCTGTCTCTGTATCTCTTTCTCTCTGAGAGTATATGTGAGACTTTATTGATCTGAGTGAACATATCAGCTCTAAGGGCCTACCAGGTCAAATCAAGTCAGTATAATTAAAACATCACCTGGAGGTTCTGTGCCACCCATAGAGTCCAGGTGGACCAGTTTTGGATACAATGTCTCAAGAAAAATCTTGGACTCTAGTATTTTATCTATGTCCAAAATTGATGCCAACTCACCTCTGACTTCATCAACAGCAGCTCTTCTGTCGTCATTCTGATTGTGTATAGTGGCTTCACATTGTGGTCTTCATTTATATTTCTTTGGTGACTGTGGTATCAACCATTTTTAATGTGTTTAAGTACCTGATGATACGTCTTTTGGGCAATGTTTCCTTTTTTAAAAAAAGATTTTGGCCGGGTGTTGGTGGTGCACGCCTTTAGTCCCAGCACTCTGGAGGCAGAGGCAGGTGGATCTCTGTGAGTTCGAGGCCAGTCTGGTCTCCAGAGCGAGTGCCAGGATAGGCTCCAAAGCTACACAGAGAAACTCTGTCTCGAAAAACCAAAAAACAAAGAGATTTTGAGTTTTGTTTGTTTGGGTTTTTTGTTGTTGTTGTTGGTGTGTGTGTGTGTGTGTGTGTGTGTGTGTGTGTGTGTGTGTGTTTGTGTCATATGTGCAGGTACCTACCCTTGAAGACCAGAAGAGGGTGTTGAACTAGAGTCACTGGCAGTTATGAGCTGCCAGGACTGACTTCTGGGAAGTGAACTCAAGTCCTCTACAGTGGTTTTCAACCTGCCCAATGCTGTGACCTTTAATACAGTTCTTCATGTTGTAGTGACCCCCAACCAGAAAGTTATTTTTGTTGCTTCTTCATAACTGTAATTTTGCTACTGCTATGAATTATGATGTAAATATTTGTTTGGAGATAGAGCTTTGCCAAAGGGGTGGCAACCCTCAGGTTGAGAACCACTGCTCCAGAAGAACAGCAAGCACTCTTAATTGCTGAACCATCTCACTAGCTTCTTCTCCTCCTCACCCCATTAGCTCAGAGGAATTCTTTATAGATTCTGGGTTTCTCAAGTGTTGGGAATTTCTCTGTGGCTTGCCTTTCCATTGGTTCCCTGTCCCCACAAAAGGAACAAAAGTTCTTCACTGTCAACTAATATGTCAGATTTTCCGGTTACTGCTCTCTCTATCCTATTTATAAAATGTGTTGCCATGGTTATGCGACAGTGGAAGACTCCATTGTGGTTACATCGATGCTTAGTCACTTCCAGTCAGTCTGGGGATGCTAAAACACTAAGACACTGTCTGGTAGGTGGACAGGGAGAAGGCTACCTAGGGGATAAAGCTGGCAAACTTCCAAGATGGCCCGCTTCTTCCTCATCCTCCTGGTCTGAGACAAAAGCCTGGCAGCTTTAGAAAGATCAGTCTGAAGGGCTTTGTTTATTTGTTTACTTATTTTCTTCCACTCGTTGTGCCTCTGCTGATGGACCAGCCTAGGAGTTGAACAGGATCTGTATATGCTTACATGATAGTTGTGAGCCAAGCAGCTACCAACCTTAAATTAGGGGAGAAAGACTCATCAAAGATTTAAAAACCCCTGGTCATTGAGAAGAGACTGGATTTATTTTATTTTATTTTATTTTGAGACAGGGTTTCTCTGTGTAGCCCTGCCCTCCTGGAACTCTCTCTGTAGACCAGGCTGTCCTTGAACTCATAGAGATCCACCTGCCTCTGCCTCCTGTGTTCTAGGACTAAAGGTGTGGGCCACCACCACCTGGAGACTGGATTTTTTTTTAGTTCTCAGCCCCCTTCTGCTTTGGAGAGGGTTTGTGGAATTGCTGTGTGTGCAGAGGGTCTCCTCGGGCTTGTGGTGTGTACAGAGGGTCTCCGAGGGCTTGTGGTGTGTGCAGAGGGCCTCTGTGGGCTTGCTGTGTGTGCAGAGGGTCTCCGTGGGCTTGTGGTGTGTGCAGAGGGTCTCCGTGGGCTTGTGGTGTGTGCAGAGGGCCTCCGTGGGCTTGAGGTGTGTGCAGAGGGCCTCCGTGGGCTTGAGGTGTGTGCAGAGGGTCTCCGTGGGCTTGAGGTGTGTGCAGAGGGTCTCCGTGGGCTTGTGGTGTGTGCAGAGGCTCTCCGTGGGCTTGTGGTGTGTGCAGAGGGTCTCCGTGGGCTTGTGGTGTGTGCAGAGGGTCTCCGTGGGCTTGCTGCAAATGCATTTTTGCACCTCTGATAAAAAACCTTTTTCACCAGCCAATGCTGTGTTAAAAAAAAATTCCCTGCTGCTATCTGTTGCATTCAAGATTTTTTTTCCTGCCTTTTAAATCTTTAACTGGCAGAGGAAAACAAACAAACAAACAAACAAACAAACAAGCCAAACAAAACTAATAGAGACCCCAGGACCAAGAAACTGCAGCTGGTTTGTGGGTCCAAGTTCTAGTCATGTGACTCAGAGTGGGGGTCACTTTCCTTCAGAGACAGTGAAGATGAGGGGGTGATATTTGAACAGGAAATTAGTAAGCTATGTCTGTATCATATGATATAGCTAAAAGTTGTATCTCACATATTTTGATATGAAATACCCCCAGTTAGGGTAAAACAAAACAGAACAAAACAAAAACCCAAACCCAAGCAAGCGCACACTTTTTCTGAAACGTAGAATGTAGCTAAAAACATGTAAACAAATACACATTTGGGTGCAGTATAACATGAAGAGGCAGAACAAGAAAGGGTATTATTATTAGAGGACAAGGAACTACAGACTTCAGGTAAAGGACACACGCCATGAAAGAGGACAGAAAGCTAATCGTTTTCCTAGGTCTATCTCTGTTACAGAGCTTTTGTTTTTGGTGATAGATAAGTACATAAATATATACTCTGTAGTGACAGTATAAAACCCAATGTGAAGCACCATGGTTTCCTTTCTGAACGGAAACTACATATATGAAAGTCCATTGAGATATACAGACTTCAAGTCTCGCTAATTTCAGTGGGTAATTTTTTTCATGTTTGTGTTTTGATAATTTCCTATGGAGAGACATCAAAATCTACTGTGTCTCTGGGACAAAGCAAAGACATTGGTGTGTCTGGGCAGTGTGAGATTGAGTTTCAGGTCTTAATTGCATTTAGAAGGAATGTGGCAGTGTCTGAGGCCACAGGCACTGCCCCCTCCCCGCGGCAGTGGACCACACATTCCCTGTTCTGCCTTCCCATTTAATGGATACTTCATCTCCATTAACAAACATGTCAGCAGTCAGAATCCATCCCTTCTCTATTGCAGCATAGTAGACCTTTACAAACCTACAGCCCCAAACACATGTAACTATTATGCTTCAGTCTCCACAGGTTCTCTGCAGTCAGGGTGTTGACGGGACTGTGTTCCCTTGGGTCCCTCTCCAAATTCACAAAGTCATTGGCAGAATTCAATTCCTTGTGGTTATAGAACTAGTGCCCCCATTTTCTAGTTGGCTATCCATGGGGCGAGGTAGGGGCACTCTCAGCTCCCAGAAGCCCTTGGCATGTAACCCTCACAAGCTATATGTCATAACATGGCAGCTACTGCTTCAAGGCCACCGGGAGCATCTCTATCCAACTTGCTAAGAAAGAGCCAGATATGGCAAAGGTGTGCCTGGCCTGTCATATTCTCTTGGCTATAGAAGCTGGACATAGGGGCACATACGTCACATTCAAGGGTCTTTGTATATATGATTCTTTCTACCATGCAAAGTTAGCTTTGTCCCAACCCATTTCTGAGCCCTGAGAAGGGATGATAAGAGGGGACTAGTGTGCACAGCTCCTGAGAAAGGATGGTGGGGGCTAGTGTGCACAGCTGCTGGGAAAGGTCGCTTTTCTTTTTACCAAAGCTCAAGAGATTTGAAAGTGGGACTCAGGTGTGGGCCACAGCAGAGACTGAGGTTGGAATGTTGCAAATAGTAAAAGGTATACAAGCCTCCAAGATTTGTCCTCCTTGTACTTCCTCTCTTGCATGCAAACATTACAGCCCTCCCTTTTCAGATTGGCTGCTACTCCAGGCCTCTCACAGGGTCCTCACAGAAGGAGAACCTCTGGCTTTGCGGTGTCACGGATGGCAGAGTAAGCTGGTGTACAACGTGATTTTCTATCGCGATGGAAAACACTTTTACTCTTCTCAGGACTCTGAGGTCATCATTCTGCAAGCCAACCCGAGTCACACTGGCATCTACCACTGCTCAGGCACAGGGAGACATTACCGCCGCTATACATCTGCAGGAATGTCTGTCACCGTGAAAGGTAGCGGCCACCCCATGACCATTGGCTGGGCCAGAACCAGCGCTGAGGTCTCCAGTCCCTACCCAATGCTCTTTGCAGCATCCACAAAGGCCTGCCAGTGATCACGGGAGTGCATGTCCATGTCAGGGGACAGCGACTGTACACTTTGTCTATTCATTTTATCTGCTAATGCCAGAGACTCACTCACTCAAGGTAGCCAGAGTTACTAGAAAGTAATCCAGTCCAACCTCATGAAATTTCCACAGAAGTCCCATAGAAACCAGAAAGACATTAGGATTTGGATTTACTCCCATCTACGTGTCAGGGATCACATAGCCTCCTTAAACTCCCTTCTGTTTGAGCTTCTGTAAATCAAACACTTCCCTGTCCACTTTGCACAAGGTTTTTGTTTTAACTTTTCCCATGGCTTACCTTCTTAGTGCTCAAACTCACTGGCAAGGTATTCCTGTGCGAAAATGAGTTCATTTCTGTGGGGAAGAAATTACAGTCCCAGCTTCTCTTTTGAATAGCATAAGTAAGGAAAGGCTTAGTTGGCAAGTGACTCTGGGTTACTGCCATGAGCAATAAACACAGCCCCACACAGAAGAGTGCAAATGTAATGAGAAGCACCATAGCTGGCGAACGGTCATGCCTGTTAGAAAATACACCTCTGTCGAAAATGGGGGACGCTCATTCTCCTGGGGCAAGATTCCCAAAGGGGAGTCTCATGAAAAGGCCAGACACTGAACGGAACAACCCTGTCCCCTATTAACTTTCTCTTTAGAGCTATTTGCGGCTCCAGTGCTGACAGCGTCCTTGTCATCTCCCTTCCCGGAGGGAAGTCCGGTCACCCTGAGCTGTGAGACAAAATTGCTCCCACAGAGTCCTGGCTGGCAGCTTTACTTCTCCTTCTATGTGGGCAGCGAGACCCTGGAGGATAGGAACACATCCTCCGAGTACTACATCCCAAGTGCTAAAAGAGAAGATTCTGGACTATACTGGTGTGAGGTAGCCACGGAGGATGGCAGCATCCTTAAACGCAGCCCTGAGTTGGAGCTTAGAATACTTGGTGAGTGCATGGGGGGGGGCTCCCTTTCCTTCCCCAGCCAGAAGGGGGGCCCCTTGTGAGCAGGGCTCCACACTTCATTCAGAACTGCACTGTTTTCCTGAAACCTTCCCTGAATTTCCTTCCCTTTCTTTCCCTTTTCCTTATTCCCCCGTTGCCTTTATCTCATTCTTCCTCCTTCTTGCTTCCTTCATTATCTGCCTTCTTCCCTTTGCTACAGCCCTCACTCATCTCCTACAGAAAACGTTAGGGTTGTCCTGGTTAGCTTTCTATTGCTGTGATGAAACACCATGACCAAGCACCGTTCATCATGAGGGAAGTCAGGACAGGAAGTCAAGCAGGGCAGGGACCTGGAGTCAGGAGCCGATGCAGAGGCCATGAAGTGGTACCCAGGACCACCAGCCCAGGGATAGCACCACCCAAAATGGACTGGGCCCATCCCGTCAGTCACTAATTAAGAAAATCTCATATAGCTGGATCTTATGGAGGCATTTTCTCAGTTGAGGATCCCTCCTTTCAGATAATTCTAGCTGTGTCAAGTTGACATCAAACTAGCCAGGGCAAGGATGTGTGCTCTGATTATGGAGTTACATGATGGTTTTACAGTTTTCTCTCATAGACAGCATACTCTCGTGTCTGTATCTAACTGACCTGGAGGGTCCAAGCATTAAAGACAGAAACAGGAATTCTCTCTCAAGTTCAGGACAGTGTAGTATTCTCAAGGAGCCTGCGCCACCTAGAGGGCACATTTGGAACTGCTGGAAGTTTCTTGTCCCTGAACTTATTTCTGGGGACACAGCCTTTCTGAGGATTTTTTTCTAAAGGATTTTTTTTTTTTCCCTCCTGTTTCAGGTCCCCAGTCATCAGGCCCTGTCTGGTTTCACATCCTTTTCTATCTGTCAATGGGACTAATATTTTTGGTGGACACAGTTCTCTGTGTGAAAATACATAAGAAGTTGCAAAGAAAGAAAAACTACAATTTAGAAGTCCTTCTGGTTTCTGATCAGGGGAAGAAAGAAACTTCCTCTTAGCAAGTATAAAGTGATAAAGTGTCTGAAGAAGAGGCATCGCAAGACAGACCACACCAACGGAGCCGTGCAGCTCCTGACTGAAGGAATACCTCTTGGAAGGTGGCTATGGACCTGGGCAGCCTGTGGCAGTGCTGGGGCACAAACTTCCAAAAGTTGACTGACACTGAAACTGTGGCACCACACCATGTGACTCTTAAATAAAGCAAATATACAAGCTGACTTCAGTTGAGTCCAATTTGGTAATCAGACATTTGAAAGGAGACCTACTCTAAAGGATTCTTGATGTTTGGCCTTATAGAGCAGGGAAGCGTGAGTAGCAGGAAGTGAATCCCGCAGGAAAAACACCCCCTACCTCCACAGCCCCTCTTAACAGGAACCAGCTCTGAAGACTCCAGTCTGAGGAGTGGGGAGCCAGGGCAGTTGTGACATTCCTTCCCAGAAGGAAGAGCTGTTCCTTCCCTCACAGGGTGGATGGTTTCAGGCCTCCCCAGGGAAAGCCTGTGTGTTAGGGGAGCAGACATGGATAGGGACTAGCGTCATAGCCTGGGGTGAAGCTGGATTAAGGCTGGTCACCATGACAGCATCACAATTTGTGTTCTCTTTCCCACAGTCTCCTTTTATGCATCCTCCCCAGAGTTGCTACCACGGGGCCTAGTGGCAACAGAAAGGTTGGCAGTGTGCTGCGGTTGGATCCATCCATCTAACCTCTCTCAGGTCCAGATATGGCCTCACTCGAGTGGCCTTTCCAGGCAGCCTTAGCGGAGCTGTGGTTGAAGGCTTTGGGGCTAGATGCATGACCGTCTGCCATACAGTCGTTACCTTCCAGCGCCCCCATGGGGTTGCTTCAGTGTTCTCCTTCCAGTACTGCCTGGAAACTGGAGCCTAGAACAGGGTCGCAACACTGACTGAAGGAATACCTTTTGGAAGGCACGGCTCATAGGCGTAAGCCACCAATGCACTGTGACCACACTAGGAAGACTGAATCCTAGAAACAAGGAATAGATCGTATCTCCACTTAACTGTCACTGCTAAGGAACCACTGAAGGTCTTGGTGCTTCACATCTCTGGAACTCTAGGCTCTGCTAGGCTGGAGGTCGCAGTCCCCAGAGAGGGTGTGGCATAGCATGAGTCTCATTGGGTAAGAACCATCAGTGGATACCAAGGGTACTTTAGAACTTTTATAGCCAGGGACCAATAGGCATAGGAGGGACAGGGATAATAGCCCACTGGAGGAGATACACTCTGTTGAAGAATGCATATACAAATTGTCAGTGTGAAAAAACAGTCTTGGAGTTGGAGAGATAGCTCAGGGGTTAAGAGCACTTCCTGCTCTTCCAGAGGACTTGAATTCAATTTCTGTGACTGCTTCTAACTCCAGCTCCAGGGGCCCTGGTGCCCTCTTCTGACCTCTTTCAAGCACTTATGCACGCATGGCATACAGACACAGACATGACAGACAGGCCTTGAGTGTACCTAACCAGCATGCGGTGGTGGGGGCCTGAGTGGGGGCTGTAGGGGCAGCTACTGCGGGAGGAAAAGCCAGCAGGCATTTTGTTTCAGGTAGTCAGGTCTTCGTCTCTGGTCAGAGGTATGAAAAAGAAGCCAGAAGTTCCCGGTTTTGTTTTTGCTTTTAAATCTGATTTTGCTCCTAGTCCTCCATATAGACCTGCATCTTAAATCAGAAGTAAAAGCTTGCTGGCAAGGGAGAGTTGCTAGTTACTTCATTTACCCATCATTCCATCTATTTGCATGCGGAAGTGTCCAGCCTCTTGACATTGTGGCACCTCCCAATCAGGTTACAAAACAGAAACACAGTGAAGGACTAGGGTTTAGATCCTTGATAGGCAGACACATAGGGGAGGTAACAGATAATAAATATGGCAAACTACTCGCTTTTTTTCACATACTCCTGAACAGAGTCAAAGACCTAATGAATGACCGGATGGGCTTTTTCCTCCTGCCAGCAGGGCCCGGCAGTGCGGTCCAAGTAAAGGCCGGACTAGTGCATGTTTATCCAGAATTGTGGGCCTATCGGTTTCTCAGTCTTTATTGACATTGACCTACCCTAAATTAGAGGAAGACCCCCTCAAAGATCCTCAAACCCCCATCCCTCCAGGAGAGGCCGACTTCCTGGGATCACCCCCAGTCTTTCTGTGTGCCCTGCTCTGTGTGTTTTTCCTCAACCTAATAAAAAAACTTTCTTCACCGGCTGATTCTGTCTGCGGTGTCTGGGATTTATTCTTTTGCTATCTGCTCCACAACATTTTTCCTGCCTTTAATTCTTTAGGTGGCAGAGTCTTAGATAGTAACAGAAAGAAGAGAAAGAAAAAACAAAAAACAAACAAAAAACCCAAAAAACGCCTCAGGGACGGCGTGAGTCGCTGGCGCCATCCGGTGGTCATCTGCACACACTGCAGTCAGCGCGCTGCTGGGTGGCCACTGGGCTTCCACGCGGCCCGAACTTGTGAATAATTGCTTTTCCCCCCACGTGGCAGGAGCGAAACGATTGAGTCTGCGGCAGCAGAAAGCACGTGGGAGAGGGGCGTGCGTCTCCGATTCCCCCCGATACAGGGAAAGGCACCCCCGCGTTGGCGGACCAGCGTACAGTGATGACTCGCTTGGCCTCTGCGCCCGCGCAGCAGCACCAGAGGTTGGTAGTGTCCGGGCCCGCGCAGCCGCAGAGCCTCCCAGCCACGCGGCGCCCCCTGGTGGTCACTTTGGGGCTCGCGGCCGCCGCCGTCTGGGAGAAGATTCAGACTGCCCGGGGAGACGCCAGGGAGCCAGCAGGAGGAGACTGCGACCTCCGCCTCCTCCGTGTCCAGCACACACGGCCTCCCCTCTGGTTCCAGCATGTCATGTCGGAAGGAAGGAAACCTGGGCCAGCCAAGCCAGCGTGAGGGCAGGCAGGGACCCCGGCGGATCCCTGAGAAGTTTCCAGAACGGAGAATGAGGCGACCCGCAGGGATATGATGCAGCGGGTGGGGAGGAGAGTGGGTCCTTCTGCCTTTTGGGGGAGGTGTGGTTTGGTAATGGGAGTCTTCATAGCTAGGGGGCCTTGGCTTAATCTTTAATTACCACCCCTTTCATGACTGTGTACAAAACACATTTTCCAGGCTTGCTATGGAGAACCACAAACTCATTCGAGGGCGAGGGAGGGGGGTCTAGGCCCACTTCAGAATGCTCAGAAGTTTCTAGGCTTCTTTGGGGACAAAACAGGAGTAGCCGAATCCATTCAGGGCCTTCCATTACTCGATCCCTTCAGAATTTACAGGTTATCCTCTAGGGGGAGCCTGCGATTAGCCCAGTCATTGTAAACTGTAAACTACCAAGTCATTGTAAACTGGAAAAAGAATGGAGATATTGCTAGTAGGTGGCCTTTGGGATTGAGACCTTCACTGCCACAGACTTAGAGACTAAGTCAGGGACTGTATGAAACCAGAGTGGGAGGGGCAGCTTGTGCAACAGAGTGGCAGTGGAGCTACTGAGAAATGGTCACATAGACAGTATTTTGGAGGAAGGGTCAACAAAACTTTCTGATTCACTAACAGGAGATGAGAGAAGGGTGATGGTGGGGTCATGGCTCAGAACATTAAACATTCCAATTGCTGAGCCGAGGAGCAAGGTGGTAGGACAGGGCAGGCAGGCAGAGAAAGCAGCAAGACTTTTATGTAAGTGTATTATTTAAGATTCTTATTAAACCTAAGTATTACTCTTTAAGCAGTACTTTGAGTCTGGAATGCTGAGCTCCAGAATGTGGCATTGTCAGTGTAAGTGGACAAGTGCATATGTTTGAATAGAGGCTGGGTAGAAAATGCCAGTGAAGGGTTTGATAATGGCTGGGTGTGGTGGCACACACTCTTAATTCCAGCACTTGGCAATGATCTAAAGTCTTAGAAAAATTGGAAACCATGCCAAATTTTCATGAGACTATTTAATATGGAGACAGACTGCATTAAATCTGTAGATCTGTGTTTCTGTGGGGGTCAAGGAAGGAAGGACACGGCAGTGTTGACTTTCCTACGCATGACAAGGCATAATCTCCACTTATGTCATTATTTATACTTTACAGTGGGTGCTAGAATTTTCCTTCTAGAAGTATTGTTAGAACCATGCCTACCACGTCCATTTGTGTGAAATGGGACAGGAAGAATCTTAAATGATGACTATGTCTCATAACTGTAACAGGTGGTGGTGGTGGTGGTGGTGGTGGTGGTGGTGGTGGTGGTGGTG